GGCCCCCAGACTGGAAACCGTACAGCCATTTGACCCCATAGTCAATTAGTGGCAGTAGCAGATTCTATTGATTGTCTGCCCAACAGTCAGTCCCCATTTCTTCCTCAGTTGAAAGGGTCATCTCTTCTGTGATAGGGCAGACTGATGTGTTGTCATGATGATTCAGGAAAGATGATCCTCACTTCAGATCGGGGGAAATCTTGAACATTCTAAAGCAGTCATGTAATGCTAGCATTTTAGGAGTGGTTATGTGACAGTCTGATTAGCAGGATGTAAAGAGAACTGTGCTTTCTTAAAAAAAAAAAAAAACAGAGCACACACAAAGAGATATCCTCTTTTTCTACTGGATATTGTTGTGTCTGCATATGATGCCTGAAATTGTGGCAGCATCTTGTGACCATGATAGAACCAGCCTGAGGACTAAGGCAGTGAAGGACACTGAAGATGCAGTGAAGAAAGATGGAAAGCACTTGGGTCCTTGTGATGTTCTAGACCCATCAAATTAATCAATCCTGGAGCCACTTATTTCTGCACTTCTTATGTGAAATAATATCCTCATGGATTAAGCCATTGAATTGGTGTTTTTGATTCCTTACAGCCAAAAAACATCCTGTCCCTTCTATATCTCCCTCACATAGGGCTATCTTCTTACCACCTCAGTTGCCTGCCTGGCAAACTCCCACTTCAAGACCCACTTACCATCACTTTCTCTGTGACAGGGCAGATTGATATGTTATCATTGGATCTTGTATTTATTTTCATTTAACTCTCCGTTAGACTGTAAGATCCTTGAGGGAACTGTTAATCTTTGTAATTCTAGTGACTAGATGTTTGTTGAATGAATTAATGAATGGACAGGAAGGATTATCTTATATCTTGATTAAGTTCTGGGCTCTATAGTGGATTGAATTATGTCCCCCCAAAATTCCCTGAAGCTTGAATTGTGTCCCCCAAGTTTTATGTATTAGAAACTTAGCTCCCACTGTGACTGTAAAGAGGGTGGGAAATCCTCTTATGGTAATTGTAAGGTGGGGCCTTGAAGAGGAGATTAGATTATAGGGCCATGCAGTAGTGAATGAATTAAAAATGGTGGTCAGGGGTGTGGTTCTGAGGACTTTAAAAGAAGAGGAGAGTCTGTCTTGCCCTCTCTGCTTCCACCATCTTGTAATGTGAGATCCCTGGGTCACTGTTGCAACCGCCAGATGGACTTTGGACTTCCCAACCTCAGAAACTGTAAGCAATAAGTTTTATTTTCTTTTAAGTCACCCAGTTTCATGGATTTTGTTATAAGCAGCAGAACAGACTAATACAGGCTCCCACGAGATTTTCTTGTAATATTCAACCACAGTTCTTACAATGGAAACAATTTTTTACAAGGATGATAATAAACTTGGATGAATTCATTACCAAGCACATCAGATCTTATATCAGGTGCACATTAACCCACTTAGGGATAGAGAAGAGTAAGAAGTAGAAAATGTGAAGAGGCTCAGAGAGGATGGGCTAAAATAAAACTACCTTGGGAATTCATTTGTGAAAGGTATCAAGAGTAACAAAAAGATGTTAATCTTCTCTGTCAATGTAACCTTCAGGAAAAGACCTTCTGAGCTCTTTGGCTCTAAGAAATATAACTGCTTAGAGGGATTTATTTTCTTCTAGAGGGTAACCTCCACTGGATGACCCCAGAGCTTTCACTTCAAAAAGGCAAAACTTTTCAAGACTAATGCCAATGTGGTATTAGATGCACACACTTAAAATATCAAGAAATGTTAGAAGATTGCATCACCAATTCTCATAAAAATCCTAGCACTCTGTGTCAGCACTGTTTAACAGTACTTCCTTTGTGTGTGTGTGTGTGTTTGTGTGTTTCTGGAAGATCCTCAACACTACTTTCTGCAATGATGAAGATATTTTTTATCTGCATTGTGCAATACGGTAGCTACTAGCCACATGTGACCAATGTGACTGAGAAACTGACTTTTAGAGTTAATTTAAATATAAATAGTCACTTGTCTAATAGCTACCATGCTAGACATGTTTTATATGTCCTAATACTAGTCAGGGTAGGCTATGTTATAATGTAGTAACAAATAAGCCCAAAATGTTAGTGGCTTAAAATAAAGTTTAATTTCTCTTTCCCATTATACACTCATCATATGTCATCTGGATTCTCTATTCCACATCTCTTCATCTGGATTCTCTATTCCACATCTCTTCATGTGGGAAAGTCTTGAATGTTGCTGGTCATTGCAACAGAGGGAAAAATAAAAAGAGATCCAGAGGGCCTTGCACTGGCAATCAAATGAGCGCTTGGCCCACAAGTGACACATATTGCTTCCATTCACAATTCATTGGCCAGAACTAATCATACGGCCCTATCCATCCACCAGAGAATCAAAAAGCGCCATCCAGATTATGCATGACTGGGAGACAGAAATATTAGGTGAGTAGTACTAATGACTAAATAAGTAAGCATCACTAAAATAACTAATATATCAAATTGAGCAAAAATAAATTATGTTTTTAAAAGTCACGTATGTGTCTATACAAAGGAATCAACAAAGACATGGGAGGAAGAAATGCACAAACATCAGGAATGCTTGTTTTACAAAATCAAGGAATGAAGGAAGATTTGAGTGATGTTTTAGAGTCTTACATTTAAGTTTATTAAGCTTTTGAAGAGGCAAATCCATTAATTAAAGGAGAAGAAAGAAGGAAACAGAAGCATAATTTATCTTCCATTATAATTAAAGAGGATAATTTAGTCAATTTTCACTTTTAAAAAAAATCCTTTTTTCACTTAAAAAAAAATCATTTTTTCACTTAAAAAAAATCCTACAGCTTTTTGTATCTTCAGGGAGGCAGTTTGTGGGAACTCAGTCTATTAGTGGACAGGTGAAACTGTTCAAGAATTCTTCCCGCTGCGTCGAAAGTAGCATGCTTGGAGTTCTCAATCTGCTTGTCCTGGCTCTGTAGCCACCCACTGAAGGACCAGCTTTTGCTTTGTGTGAGCCCTCAACCCTCTGGAGGGAGTTTCTCTGCCCCCTGGGTTTTCTCTTTTGGTAGCGATTTCTCCCTGTGCCTTAGCCCCCACGCCCTCTGTTCTGGTAGCCCTCCCTGCAGCATGCAGCACAGAGTTAGAGGTGGGTGGGGAAAGCATAGACTTTGGGGACAGAGTGTGAGCATCCAATACTAGCTACTTATATCTGATTCTTAATGTTCTTCTCTGTAAAATGGGTACTAACCACACCTATGTCTTAGTCTTGTAAAGAGGATTCAATAGAATTAGATCTGTAAACTAATAGGTGCACAAAAAATATTAACCATACTTCAATATGACTTTTCTTTTAAAATGTGATGTGTGGAGTTGAACATAACAATAATTTAGATGTGGTTTGATTAATAGAGAGTAAATGATTTCCCTTCTCTGGGAGATCATCTTATTCCTTCATGCATGTAGCCTAAAAGTATTAGCATTATCTTTGGGGGCAGCCAGATTATACTGTTAATTCATATTGTACTTAAAATGTCAACTTCCTCTAAGTCAGACTTACTTAAGTTGTAGACATTTTAAGCCCAAAGTAAAGAATTTAAATCAGATAAAATTTGATGAAAATAACTGTTGCTTCAGCTTGTTGCTCATTAGCTTCTAGCAAGGTCTGAGTCTTTTGAATCATGATCCAATGCTAAATATCAGCTGCCTCAAGAGTTGTCTGTTCTACATATCTCATAGGTATGTGATTACTGAAAAGATCACAGATGTTGGAGACAGCCAGACCTAGGGTTTGCATCTTAACTCTGGTATACTACCATGGAGGAATTATTTAACTTCATTGAGCCTCAGTTTCCTCTTTTGTAAAATGGAAGTAGCAAATTAATAATAATAGTAATTACTTCAATGAATATATGAATAAGTTATGCACCTTCTCTGATTTTATTCAAGTGATTAATACAAATATTTAACTAGAATAAGACTCAAGATCGAACCTTGTACCACAACACTATCAGTCTTTCTCTAGGTTGAATAACCACTGTTCTTTGAGCACACATATCTGCCCCATCATCCGGCACAACTGTTTCATCTTTCAGTTGTATCTGGACAGGCTTTGTCAAATGCCTTACTAAAATCAGATACTCACTAAAGCAGATTTCTTTGGACCATCTGTATGCACTTTCCCCTCTTCCATCTCAGACATTGGTGAATAGTTACTATTTTTAAATTCTCTCTTAATTAGTTTCTCCTTGTATAGAGGTCTCTGGTTTCTAAGCTACTACATTTCCTGAGATGATCCCCAGACAGAAGTAATTTGAGTTTCCTTGGCTTCTTTTAGAAGGAGTCATTGTAGAAAATGGTACACGTGTTAGCCAAGACAGATCTCTCATTTCACTTGAGGATTATGTGTGTGGGTGCATGTGTCTGAGGGTGCAACAGGGCTTGGATTACATCTTTGAAACTCTTTGCTCCTATCTATTATTCATTATCTCCACCATCAAATCAGAGCTTAGATTCCTCATCACTTTTGCCATCATCACTGACAATTAGGATTCAATAGAAGGACATCGCCTGAAATTCAATTCTAAACAGCAGCTCAATCCAAAATCCTAAAATCTGGATGGGGTGGGGTGGGGTGGTAATGTTTTCTGATAATCCAGTCCATGAGGAAAGAAGCATCCCATAGGAAATCATAACAAATAGTCTTAAGCAAGTCCTTTTGTTGACAGCTTTATCCAAGAAACCATCTTCCCTGGAGACTTTTCTAAACTTTAGACTAATCCTCTCCTTGCCACAGAAGTCCTTTTGTTGGGGGAAACTGTCAGCGAATACAGGAGTGACAGGCCTCTGTAAGCACCACCTCCGTCTCTGAATTCTTGCAATTGTCAGTCTCCCAACTGTCCTGTTGGGAAATCGGCCTTCTGGCCCAGGGATCTCTCTATCAAACGACAAAATGGATGGAATTATTCGGAAGTCCTCTTCTTAGACTATCTTGGTCTATATCTACTTTTTGAATCACTGTTAAATTCTAGGTGAATGACAGTAACAACAATCTCCCATTGCTTTCTCTTCAAGTATCATGTGCCGCTGCCTTGCACATTGTATTTAAAACATTCCAGGTCACAGGTCATGGTATAAAACCCCTGGTCCAGTATGGAGTTAGATTTAAAGCTTACTAGTAAGCTGAAGGAAATGAAAACTGAAACAGCAGGAACATAGCCCTGCAAGTGAATAAGGAATAAACAAAATCAAAATAATGAATACCAGAGTACAGATCATCTAAGGAAAACCTGTTAAACATTACTGCAAAGTTATTGATGGAATTATATATATTGACAGAAAAGGTGATGAGAAAGTATAAGAGTGGAAGCATCTTACTCCTGGTAGTAAGAATTAAGAAAGCTTTAAAAACAATCAATATATATCTCTGGATGTGCAAACTACAGTTGTAACTCACCCAACCCACTGTTCAAAACACACCTAGCTTTGAAATAATATGTGTAAAGTGCCTACTGTATGCCTGGCGTGTGCCATGGGACAATAAATTTTAGTTCCCCTCTATTTCTGTGTTTTAGACATCAGTATACATTTTTATCATGCCTAAAACTGACATTTTGAGGATTTTTCAAGAGTCTTAGTTTTGAGGCATTGCTGCCAGTTACTAAGTCCTAATACCCCAATTTACATTTTGACTCTCCTGAAAAGTGAATATTTTAACATAAATTCAATTCAGTGGAAAAGATTTACAAGTCCCAAGTGTCCATGTGATTATGGCTTTTAGTCTCTCTAACTCCAGCACTCTCAGATTTTGCTGATTCCAAGCCATTTATTAAACAGTTTAATTGCTCTAGCTTTTCTCTCTTGTGGTTCACCTCCTACTGGTTTTATCTCCTTACATTAGCACCAAGGCCTAGGGACATCATGAGATGACTCTGATAGAGGCTAAATCTGCCTTCTCCTTTCTTCAATTGGTGGCACAGCCACCAAGTTCAACATACTACATGTAATTGATTTTCTACTGTGACCAATTTATGTCTACAGGTAACAATTCTTTGTAGAAGGTCACTGAAGAACAAAGTGGCTATCTCCCTACCTTCTGGCTGCTTATTAAAACAAAAGAACAATGATAGAAATAATAATAATGCTTATGGAGCACCATTTGAGACCATTTCCATTAGGGTCTTTGCTAATTTTACGAAGGGGAAAAGCTAAACTTTACAGAATGCAGCTAAAGTTCATCCTGTCCGCATAACTAGTAGGTTTAAAATGGCATAAGTATGTTCTAAAAACTCTGCTCTAGAAAATATTTTGCTTGGGAAAGACCATATTATTGTATTGTCAATTGTAATTCCAGTTGTACACTGTCAACATACAAACTTAGGTATTTCATAAAATGCTCTGGGGAAGAGCTATAATTCTAAATTTCCCTGTTCTTTGAAGACAAGCTCATTGTCTTCTAAGACAAGGATCTTAGAAGAGCCAGAAGGGAGACATCCTTGATGTGTAAACTATCCTTTGAATAGTGACAATCAAAGATAGAGATCCAAGAGAAAGTGGCAAAGGGCTGAATCCTGCCCTGAGAGTCACACTGGGGGTGGGGAGTGGGTGTAGGGAGTATGCCGATGGTTACCATCTAGGCCCCAAAAGTTCTGTTAGGAACCACAGCCAAGCTGTGGTTGCCAAATGGGTGGCCGAATCATGATATAACACTTGTGGTTTGGGATATAGCCAGGGTCACCTAAAGGGCTGGCTGGCTGATGCTGCATGTAGGTCCCACCTTGATTCCTCTAACTAGATTATTGTCCCTTGTAGCCATGATGGAAGGCCCAGTATGGGAAGTGCTCTTGTAACATCTGGGGACGTCTGTACTATGGTGGCTTTTGGGGTTGTCCTATCTGGCTTCCTGTGTCTGCTCTCATAATTCCTTTTAGGGTACAGTAGCTTTGGGAAAACCCTCCACAGTACCCGTTCCTTCTCAAGATTACCTTGGAAGGTAATTCGTACCACTAAGGCAACCAACCATCCAGGTTTACCACAGACCATGATAATTTTAGTACTGAACATCCAACATCCTGGGATGGCTGGTCACTCTTACCTCTGATTTTGTCCTGACAGCTGGCTGAGAGAACTACATAATTAAGGGAAAACAACATGTCAGTTGCAATCCTTTATTCTACCTGTGTCAGCTGAAGGTGTTACAGTGATCTCTAAGTTGTGTCTAAGGAGCCCTCACACTGCCCTGGGGGTGCGAGAGACAGGTGTTGCACGTTATCACCCTCCTTTCCCAGCTCAGGAAGTGGAAGCCTGAAGAGGCGAGGCCACCTGTCCCTAGAGTTGGGGATGAAGAGCTAGACACGAACAGAGGTGCCCTGAGCCCGGGAGCAATGTCCTCTCCACCTGGCAGCGGCAGCTTTTCAATTTTGCCCATAGGAGCCTCACTGTTGGGACCACTTACCTGGATGGACGTTGGTGACTTCACCCTTTCTTCTTACCAGTATTTGCTAAACTGGGCTGGGTGGGTGACCTTTCTGGTAGGAGGCCAAAAGGTCACACATTTCTGGTTTTAGCCTCACTCCTGAAACCGTAAACAAAGACTCCTCTGGATGGAGAAAAAGAGAAAAGCACCAACATATTATTTCCTGGGAAATTTTACGGTATGTATTTTTTATGTCTGTTGTTATATTTTTTATCCAAAGAGATGTCAAAACACAAGCCAGACTTACTTACCAATAATTCATACTGACTCATGGATGACTCACTTTACTGAGTCTACTAATAGATGTTGCGTGCCTCCTATTTAATTCAATTCAATGCATATTTCCCAAATAAACACTTGGGCATTATGCTAAGTGTTGAAGATGGTAAAAGTGAGAGAAAAACTGGGAGATACACACACATACAAACAAGGGCCAAAAGTAAGGTGCTATCAAAGAATTAGGAAACCCCCTCCTCCCAAGTCCACTAGGAAGCGAGGGTAAAGTGTAGACAAGGCGCCCTCTGACCCTTGAAGGATGACTATGCTCTCATACTCAAAGACTTCTAGGGAGGATGACATTCCTGGCTGAGAGATCAACATGAGCAAAGACACCAACGAAGGAAAGTGTTTGAGAGAACTGCAGGTCATCTCACGTGGCTAAAGCAGACAGACTAGAAGATAAAGTTGGAAAATGGTTGGAGCCGGACGGTGAAGGGGGTTAATGTTATGCAAGGAGTATAGACTTTAGTGGCAATGATAATAGGCAATGAGCATCATGCTGGGCTAGACATGTTTCGGAGTTTCAAATCCTGGTAGATACATTAGGCAATCTATTTAAATAGACTCCAAAGTGCAATGCTTGTAAATTAAAAAAAAACCCCAAAACCTATTTTGAAATACTACACATATATATTTATATATAGAGATATATAATACTACATATATATTTATATATATAATAGCACATATATATAATATTATATGTGTGTGTGTGTGTGTGTGTGTATATATATATATATGTATTCCCCGCCCCCAAAATCATGTATCTGGTTAGTTCAGAACACTGGTAATTTGCCTTTTCATACATGCCAGTGTTTGTTAAGTGCTTACTTAAGACTAGTGCTTATTACGCTAAAGCTACGGACCAAGACCTCCAAAAGTTAACATTTTAAGGGGCTCATCTAAAAAATGGGGAAAATGAAACTTCCTGGCAGATTGTTGTAAGTTTACAAAAGGTAATATATGCAAAATACCTTGTGTAGCTCCTGATACACAATACGTTTTTAATAAATAGCAGTCATTGTTACGAGCATTAGCATAGACATTGTCTGCTGCAAGAGGCAGCAGCCACATTGTCACCAAAGCACATCCACAGCACTTGCTCAAGTTATCCTTCCACTGGGGCATTGCTTTTCCCAGACTCACAATCTGCACAAATCTGGGTTGCTCAAAATACCTCACAATTTAACAAAAAGAGAAGCTTCTATCTTTGGCGCGCCAAAAGCATAAAAAAAAAAAAAAATTGTTTGCTGGAAGCTGCGCACACCCAGAGAGAAGAAACAAACCTGCAATGCTGGCTCTGTCCAGCTTGGGCTAGATTTCTCTTAGGTGCTGTAGGTCATCTGTGGCCCTGACCTCTTTGGTTTGGAATTACGTGTTTGCTAGGCTGGAAAAGGGAGACGTCAAGTTTTGTGGATCTGCATAATGCATTTTCACAGGGACGTTATACTATGCAATTTTGTATTCTACTTTCTTAAAAGAAAGCTAAAGCTCATGTCATAGCATAGACAGTTAAACAGCCAAAATAAACAGTGTGTACACTTTACAGATTACTCACAAGTCAACTCAAATCCAAACCATCTTGGGAACTTCTCTCAGGGAGAAGTATCCTCTTGCCCTGGGGAGCAGTGGCATAAAAAGCTGGGATTCCCCTCAGGCTTCCTTGCCCTCAAAAGCAGCAGCTCCTCAAAAGCTGGGAGGGAGGGAGGGAGGACGGGAGAGAAAGAGAGAATTATCTGGCAGAAGATTCTGGGAAGGCAACCAGTTAATCAAAAGGATTCCAATTTGGCCTTGGACTGCCAGACTCTCCTTCCCAACTCATAGAAAAAGAAAAAGGGGGGTGGGGGACAGGAAAGAAAGAAAAAGAAAGAATGTAAAAAGCTGTAGAGCGGCTCTCCTTCAACAATTTCACAAATGCAAAACCAAACCTTCCACTCTGGTGACTCCTCATTAGCTCACTGAATCTGACAGCATAATTATCGCAGCTGCTTTGCACTTAGAATAAATAAATACGAAAGTGGGTGTTTAAAAATTTTTTGAGAAGGAATATTCAGTCATCTAGACAGTCAGTAGGACAAGTTTATTTAAAACTTTTAGATTCTTATGTATTTAGATCATTTCAGAACGAGATAATGAGATAGTTGTCTTTCACTCTAATTGAGTTCCTAAGCTCATGGCTGTTGGCTGTCACCCCTTTCAAACTTTGCTTTAACTTTCCTTCCTTTAGAAATTTGATCCTGGTGTCTCCGTTTACTCTTCCTGGGCTGATAACCTGGTGAAGGCTCGGTGCACTGGAGTGCAGAAAGTGACTTAATGGGATTGGGGAGCTAAATAACCTTTCACAGGAAACAAGATAATCAAATCTCTTTTACTTGCCTGTAATGGCTAAAAGGAGAAAGCACAAGTTAAAAAGAAAGCCTCAAAATTAAACTGTCATTTCATAATGTCTTGTAATCTCCCTTGTCACGTGATTTTTGCGCTACTCTTGCACATCATCAATCCATCAGCTGGAGTTGCTTAGTGCATTTAATTATTCAGAGTGCATATATCCTCATGATTACGTGGTAATTTTAGCTCATGTGTATGTATATAGGCTTCATATCTTCAAAGCCCAAAGGATCACACAGTACTTTAAACTGAAGTTGCTAACTAACACAGAGTGCACTTAAAACTGACTAGGGGCACAGTACATATGCATTTCCGATTAAAGCAGATGATCTTTCCTTTTAAAATTAATTAGTGCCTATTTATCTTTTCTTCTCCCTCCCGCCCTTCATTCTCCTAGGACAGCATTTATATGAACCCTTGCATTCAGTGAGTTAAAAGCTTTATAAAATAAACATTCTGTTCAACCTGGGGTAAAGGAAACTAGTGTTAACCCATTGTGCAGATGGAGAAATTAAGGTTTAAAAAACCTAACAGCATACATTATGCTGGGAAAAAAAGAAGAAGCAGGTCCTTAATCTCTCAATCCAGAGCTTGGACTTCCTGTGCCATCTTGTTTTAACTCAATCCTTTAAACAATAAAGACAGTATAACACCAACATTAAAGAAAACTTTGAATGAGGGGGAAAAAATTACCTATAATCCCCCTAAAAGAGCTATTTTATTTTTGCATACTACCTTTCAAGTTTTGTTCATATGAATAATAATTTCCATAGGAACATGATAATATGCAATTTTGTATTCTAGTTTCTTGTAGCTCATGTCATGATACCACATGACATAATACCACACATTCCTGTCTATTAGCATTTTACATGGTTAAATAGTATGTATGCTGAGTCAATATACCAACACTTGTCTAACTGGTTCCCTGGAATATTTAAACCATTTCTTTTATTTTTATTTTTTAATTTTTGTAGACATTTTGAACATTGTAGACAACACTGCAATGAACATTTTCATTAAGCTAGGTTTTTCGTGTTTTTTTTTTTTTTTTCTATTCAACTGTTTCTTTGGATAATTTCCAGGAATTGAAATGACAGGAATTGAATTACAGGGTTGAAGGGTATGACCATTTTTTGACTTCTGGTATGTATGCCATGATACTTTGCAAAGGTTGCCCCAATTTACACTACCATCAGAAGAGAAGCATTTTACCACAACCTCAACAGCACTGGTTAAAAGAAAAATTAACTAATTTGACAGTTATTTGTATTTAATACCTAATAAAGCTATTTATTCCATGTGTTGGTATGCTCTTTTTGTTTTTTCTTGCACAAGGTGCTTTTTTATGCCTTTGCCCAATTTTCCATTCAATTATGATGTTCTTATAAAACTGAATGAGTTATAGAGTAAAACAATAACAACCATTGATTAAAAAACCTAAGGGTGATTGTATATGTTATTGCAAAAAATAAATAAATAAAAAGAGCAGAAACCAAGATAAGTTGGCATTGAGGAAGAGGTCAGTGGTACCAGGGTGTGAGTCTCTATTTAACATAAAATTGAGCCCTCTTCGTTGGACATACGGAACATGTTACCTGGGGATGTGTGAAATCTTTTTCAGGAAGACTTTAAAACAAAAATAGTGCGTGAGACAGTGGGAAGAGCACAGAACTGCGAATTAAGATCTTGCTTCTAATCCTGGTTTTGCTACTAAGTTCCTATGTGACCTTTGATAAGAGCGATGAATAAGAAAAGAGTGGCTTCAGAGTCTGATTTGAAGTAAAATCTTGGCCCCACCAGTTACTAGCTGTGTAGCTTTATTAGTCTATCTCAGTTCCAACTTTTTAACCTGTAACATGAGGAAATTAATTCCAACCTCACCAATTAGTATATAGATTGAATGAGAGTTCACATGAAGCACATAGATGCCCAATAAAAGGCAGCTATTATTATCCTTCCCTGGGTGTCAGTGACTCACCTATACAATGAGGGTATGGATGTAAGTAGTCTCTAAGATCCTTTCCCACTCTAAGGGTTTCTAATTCTTTCCTGACTGGTTTATCTTTACGTGGAGATGCTTTCAACTAGTGGTGCTAACAAATTTAACCTATTTAAGGGCTTGGTAGAACTTTGGGACTTGGTTTACCCAGGCTTCTCCTAGCAACACAACTCTACACAACACCATAAACCATGTCTCAACCCAACATCTCCCTGAATGTACTAGAATGGGTTGAGGACAACTCTGAATATAAATGACGAAGATGTGTGTTATAGAGAACAGTTCCTAATTTGCTTCTTAATGTACTATTTCGTAAGTACTAATTAACAGAGAATTTAAAAGGTGGAGAGAGTGGTCTGAGCTATGTTACAAACTCCTAGAAGCAGCATAGAGTCAAGAGACCTGGCTGAGAATCTTTCCTTCTTCCCCACCACCCCAAACCCTTGAAATCTAG